AGCTTGGGGGCCAAGAAAGGACTCACTGATAAAGTGACATCCCAGTGGACCTGAAGGAGGGGAGGGAGCCAACCAATATGGGGTCAAGAATTCCAGATAGGGAACAGCAAGCTCAGAGGCCTGAGGCTGGAGGATGCCTACTGATCTGAAGTCAGTGGGGCAGGGTGCTGAGGGCAGCGCCACGAAGAGCCATACCACCTGACACCAACGACAGCACTCCTGGGCAGTGCCTCTCCCATCTGCTCAGAACAGCACCCCTATCTGGGAGCCCTCCTGCCCCCCTCTCTATTCCAATAGGTGCCCTGAGAACCTTCCAGTCAGCACTTTGTTAAACAAAGAATATTCATGACACTTGTTAAAATGGTAAGGCAGACTTTATTCAGGACCATCGTTAGGTATATGGGCCACTGTCAATACCAGCTCAACACAAGGTTGACAGAAGGGAAGCCATATTGTAGAAAAGAAGCCATATTGTAACTTTGAATGACCTCTAATTAACCCAGCTAGATGTGCACCCTCCAGGAGATATACAAGCTTTATGGATTTATGGCCCTTGCTTGCGTATAAACCTCCCAGCTGTGATAAGACAATAATATTTTTTTCATGTGGCTTTTTGTGTGTGTATGTGTGAGGAAGACTGACTCTGAGCTAACATCCATGGCCAAGCCTCCTCTTTTTGCTGAGGAAGATTAGCCCTGAGCTAACATCTGTGCCCATCTTCCTCTATTTTGTATATGGGATGCTGCCACAGCATGGCCTGACAAGCGATGCATAGGTCTGCACCCGGGATCCAAACCCACAAACCCTGGGCCGCGAAAGCAGAGTGCGTGAACTTAACCACTACGCCACCGGGCCAGCCCCAACAATAATTTTTTTAAACTTCCCTAGGAATGTGATGACCCCTGAACAGAGAGTCTATGCTGATAGCCATCATCAATGACAACTGAAAGATCTCTTGTGGCGACTCCCAGTCTGTAACACCAGAGAGTCAACGTTCCTAACCCTCTCCCCTAAAACCCACTGGCCTATATAACTGATTCAATATTCTGTGCCCCTCTTAAGATAGTTCTTGAGAACATTAGTCCACCATCTTCCTATCAGCTAGCTCATCACCCTTTCTCTGCCACCATCTTGCCTCTTGATGGATTGGCTTTTGTCTTGCGGCAAGCAGACAGTGCCCTTTGCGCAGTAACACTGTGATGGAATTTCGCATTCAGGGAGAGATTGGACTCAACTCCAATTACAGCATGGGCAAGTGGGAATTTATGGTGATGGGGTTCAGGACATGCTACCCCAAAATATGGCACCTTGGCATAGTAAATATTTTAAGCTGAAAGAGTTTGAGAAAACAGCAGAAGTAGGAAGGTCACTTTGACATTCCCCCACCCTTCTCCCCTGAAACAGGCCATCAAACCCTCATTGAGGGTGCCCTCCCTACACCCAGAGGAAAGGAGTATCCTTATGCCAAAGACAAAGGGAAGAATCCAAACAAACAGGCCTTGATAAGTGTCCCCCAGTTTATTACACTAACCTCATACTCCTTAACCTATCATATTCCTCCACGGCTGTCCACTCTTCATCAAACCTAGCATAAAATACTCAGACTTAACTGTTTCTTTGGGTCTTCATTTCCTTATGAAGGCTCCCATGTCACATAAAACTTCTGAAATTAAATAAATTCATATGCTTTTCTCTAGTTAATCTGTCTTTGTTCGCTTAATTTTCAGACCTAGCCGGGGAACCTATGAGGGTTAAGGAAAACTTTTTCCTCCACTACAATAGCCAAGGAGCAGGGTGAGGGTCAGTGGATGGAAAATTACTGAGCAAACATCAAAGGTCAGGGAGGATTCTAGCTAAACCAACCTACCAGGATTCTTGTTGAAGGCAGGCCAGGGTGATCGGGCATCAGCTGGGGATAGTGGGGGGTCAAGAATCTGATCAGATATGAGGGTGGAGGGTTCTTGCTAAACTGACTTAGCAGTGTTCTTGCAAAACTAGATTTTAAAAGGAAGTGCACAGATGGGCCTAGGAGAAGGTTCGGGAGCCTGACTAAAGCTTGATCAAGCAAAGAATCTTTGTCAACCTGCCACCTTCCCCTCAGATGAGGTATGCACCTGCCAGCAGACCCCTTCTGGAATTGAGACCAACCACACGGCCTAAGGGTGGCTGAGAGGGAGGAAGTGCAACCTGGGTGAGCCAGGTTGGGGAGCAGGAATGGTGGTTGCTGAGGGCAAGGAGGGTGGAGCCAAACCGAGGTGGGAGGTAGAGGCCTGGGTGGATGGCTCCCAGTGTCCTGGGTCCCCACATCAATTGGCCCCAGGATCCTCTACAGAATCCCTTTCTGTGAGCCAAGTGTTCTCACTGAAGCAGCTCACCCACGCCCCCCACCCCACGCAGGCCCAGGAGATGGAGGCCTCTCTCACCCCTTGTCCTAGGTGCAGAAAGACAAGACCCAAACCACTCATTGCAAGGCACCTCTCCTAACTGTGGGTGTTAGTTCCAAATTAGCAACGTCCCAGGCATCCAAAGCTACTTCCTGCACCCTGGGGGGCTGCCTCTCGTCTGGGCTCTGTCCCAAGCTGACCCTCCTGCTGGCTCCAGGAGCAACGCCAAAAAAAACTCACATCTCCAAAAGACTCAGACACCTGCAGAGGCTTGGCTTTGAACAAACATAGCTGGCAGCACACGCACCCCACCCCACCCCCGAGGTCAGGGCTGGGCTGGCCCAGCTGTCCCGTGTGCACACACCTGAGCAGCCTCCAGAAACCGCAGGGGAAAGTGCCATCCATTTGCATAACATTACAACCACAGGCAGCTCTTCCTGAGAAGAAGGGCAGGTCCTCCACTGCTTGCAGCTGAAAGGGAAGAAAGTGCTTTTGGTTGATTCCTTTTAAACTCCAATTCACAGCGCCGACCAGCTGTGATAGCTCCAATTACAGGTTCAAAGATTTCTGGGCCATGGAAAAACTTTCTGTCCTGGCCACCCACCCTATACCGCTCCCACGCACAGGCCCAGAAACCACGCTGGAATGTGACACCAAGGGGCTGGTTCACTGGAGACTGGCCCCTTCCCTTCCTCACGAGGTCATCGGCCGCCTTAAGCCCAGGCCCAGGCCCAGCCCCATCTCTGAGACTCCCTGCCCTTCAAATTTTGCTCCCCCACACTGCCCCTCGTCTTGAGCTTTCATGTTTCACCAGGAAAGTGCCAGCTCCCCAGTCAGGACTGGGCCTCAGTGGAAGCTGTGTCCTGGGCCCCCACCCCAGTCCCCAGAGGCCTTTCCAGCGCCCTGTCCAGTCTCCTACTCGCTCCAGGGTCAATAGTCACGGGAAGCTCTCCCCAGTCAGGAGCCCAGGTCCCGCTCTTCCTGAGCTTGTGGGAGAACCTGAGGCTGGAGAGCCGCCCTGGGGAAGGTTCCCTGGGGTGGGAGGAGTTGCCCTAGGGTAGCGCTTGGTATGCGGAGCTGCTCTGGGCAGCCCAGTTACTGCACTGACCCTGGGGTGCTCAGCAGCACTGAGTAAAACCCACCTAACCGCCCTCTGGGGGACTTGCTCTTGGAGACAGCGAAACAAACTGGGGCCCAAAAAGCTGAAGGCTGTCCAGGGCTGTCCAGTGGGGGAGCCAGGACCCAGTCATCGCCTCTTCCAGTGGGTCTTCCCATTGGTGTAACCCAGAAGCAGACCAGACCCCAGATGCCCGACACACACACCACACCACACATACATATACCACACACGTCGTGCCAGACTACACACACACCACACACATATACCACACACACACATCACACCACACACACACACCATACACACATATACCACACACATCACATACACACCACACACATATACCACACACATCACAACACACCATGCCACACACACACACACCACACCAGACACCACACACATGTACCACCCACATCACACCACACCACACACACATACTACACATATCACACCACACACACACCACACACATCATACCACACTACACACACACCACATGCCACACCACACACACGTACCACACACATCACACACCACACACACACACTACATCACACCACAGCACACCATACCATACCACACACACACCACACAATGCCACACACCACACACATCCACCACACACATATACCACATCCACTCCACTCACACCACATCACATACACACACCACATACACACCACTACACCAACACACCACACCACACCACACACAATGACACACAGACACACACATGCACTGAGGGGAAAGGGTCTGAAAGAATTTGCTTTTTCGTCTTTCATGAAAAGCACCAAAAGTAGTGCTGAAGGTAAAGCCAGCAGTCCGTTGGCTTCACGGTTTTCCTTACGATTTGCTCGTTCACCGAGCGCCCATAACACTCTTCGTACTCAGGACCCCGGAGTCTCCCAGCGCCGGGACACACCCGACGTGCCCAACACGGACTTCCGCGGAGCCCCCAGCCCCGGCACAGCCCTGCCCCTGCCCCCGACCCGCCGCCCACCCCGCACCGGCGTTTCGGACTGCGGCCCCGCCCCAGGCCCCGCCCCCGCCCTCCGGCCTCGCCCTCTCCCCGCCCCAGACCCCGCGCTCCGGACTCTGGCCACGCCCCGGCCACGCCCTCGACCCCACTCCGGCCTCCGGCCACGCCCCTGCCTCGCCCTCAGCCCCGCGCTCCGACTCCGGCCACGCCCAGGCCAGCCCTCGCTCCGACCCCGCCTCCCGGCATCCGGCCACGCCCCGGGCACGCCCCCAGCCCCGCGCTCCCTACTCCGGCCACGCTCTCGCCCTGCCCTTGCTCCTGGCGCCAACGGCTCGGGGCGCAAAGCAAGGCCCGGGCGCGCACGACCGCCACTGCGCCCGCGCAGGACCAGCCTAACCCCGCGCCGGCCCCGCCCCGCCCTGCGCTGGGTCCCCGCCGCCCCGCCCCCGGGCCGCCGCGCAGGGCTCACGGGACCACGAGGCGGGGCGGGACGGGGCGGGGCGGGGCCCGGCCGAGGCGGAAGCGCCCGTGGAGGGCACTGCTGCCGGATTTTCGGCAGCGGCACCTGCCCGGCAGTACACGGCCCTCGTCCCCCCCGCTGGACTCCGTGGGTCGTTGTCATGTGACTTCTGCCTCTGACCACAAGTCTGGTTGGGACCTCTCGAGGAAGAGGGTCAGATCTCCGCCCGAGAATCTGAAGGTGTTCTGGTCCTTGAGGGTGTCCAGGGAGTATATCCCAAGCCACCGTCTCCTGGGTTTTGTTGGGGTCGGGGGTGTCTGAGAGCCGAGTCCGCTGGGACTTCAGGAAGGGGGTTGTCTGGGTGGGGGCTGTATTTGAGTCTGGGGTCTGGGGTCTCAGGGGAGAGTAAGCATCAGGATTTGGAGTCTCAGGGGAAGGTAGTCCCTGGCTCTGGGGTTTCAGGGGAGGGTAGCGCCTGGCTCTGGGGTCTCTGGGGTAGAGGTTGCTGGAGCCAGTTTGCCTTGCCTCCCAAGGGTCTCTTGTGATAGGCCCGTCTGTGCCAGGGGCCATGGTGGCACCGTGGGCCCTCGCTCTGGCCTTGGCCTCAGGCCTGGCGGCTGCCAGCCCACCTAACATCATGCTGATCTTTGCTGATGACCTGGGCTACGGGGACCTGGGCTCCTATGGGCACCCCAGTTCCACCACCCCCAATCTAGACCAGCTGGCCGCAGGGGGACTGCGGTTCACCGACTTCTATGTGCCAGTGTCTCTGTGCACGCCCTCCCGGTGAGTGAAGGGCAGGGGATCTCGCACCCGTACCTCCGCCCCGCCCTTCCCGTTCCTCACAGAGTCGCTCTGACTGCAGTGGGGGAGGAAGAGGGTGTCCTCTCTCTCTATGGAGAAGCTCACGTTTCTGTCTTGCTCCCTCTCTCCTCTCCTCCTTGTGTTCATCTCAAGTCTTTCTTTCTGTCTCACGGACTCTGTGACTTGTCCTGTAGGGCCGCCCTCCTGACCGGCCGACTCCCAGTTCGGATGGGCCTGTACCCGGGAGTTCTGGATCCCAGCTCTCGGGGGGGCCTGCCCCTGGAAGAGGTGACCCTGGCTGAGGTTCTGGCTGCCCAAGGCTACCTCACAGGGATAGCTGGCAAGTGGCACCTTGGGGTGGGGCCTGAGGGGGCCTTTCTGCCCCCCCACCAGGGCTTCCATCGATTCCTGGGCATCCCATACTCCCATGACCAGGTAGGAACCGCCAGGGCCCTTGGCCACCCTCCTGCCCACCTCCCATCAGTCCCCTCCCCCTTGGCCCCCCAGTCCAGACCCCTGAATGGAGCCGCTCCCCCAGGGCCCTTGCCAGAACCTGACCTGCTTCCCGCCGGCCACCCCCTGTGACGGCAGCTGTGACCAGGGCCTGGTCCCTATTCCTCTGTTGGCCAACCTGTCCGTGGAGGCGCAGCCCCCTTGGTTGCCTGGACTTGAGGCCCGCTACGTGGCTTTCGCCCGTGACCTCATGGCTGATGCCCAGCGCCATGGCCGCCCGTTCTTCCTGTACTATGCCTCCCACGTGAGTGAGTCTGGCCCCACCCTCTTGGCTGCCCATGACCCCTACCCAAGGCTAACTCCAGTCTCTGCCGCCAGCACACCCACTACCCCCAGTTCAGTGGGCAGAGCTTCACAGGGCGCTCAGGCCGCGGGCCATTTGGGGACTCCCTGATGGAGCTGGATGCAGCCGTGGGGGCCCTGATGACGGCCGTGGGGGACCTAGGGCTGCTCGGAGAGACGCTGGTCATCTTCGCTGCAGACAATGGGTACGCCAGCAGGGGGCAGGGGCGTGCTGGTTGATCCATCACAGGACACAGTGGGATAAGGGGTTTTGGGAGATGCTGGAGATGTGTTACGGTGACCCACAGGTGCATGTGGGAGGCTGGGGGCCGGAGTATGTGGAGGTGCTGGTCTTTGCTGGACAGGGAGGGGACAGGCACGTGCTGGCCATTTCTCTGCACGGTGTGTAACTTAGAAGTCGGGCTGGGGTCACCAGGGTGAGTCAGAGACCTTGGGCTCCTCATCGTTGATGACCTCCCTGTGTCCCAGACCTGAGACGATGCGGATGTCCCGTGGTGGCTGCTCTGGCCTCCTGCGATGCGGAAAGGGAACCACCTTCGAAGGGGGCGTCCGAGAGCCTGCCTTGGCCTTCTGGCCAGGCCACATCGCCCCCGGTCAGTCTTCAGGCCCTCCTCGTGGACCCCTGGCCCCACCTCCTCAACCCTGGTGGTGAATGGAGTGACTGCACAGCGCTCTGCCCCCAGGTGTGACCCATGAACTGGCCAGCTCCCTGGATCTACTGCCCACCCTGGCAGCCCTGACAGGGGCCCCACTGCCCAACGTCACTTTGGATGGCATCGACCTCAGCCCCCTATTACTGGGCACAGGCAAGGTAGGGCCAGCGCCCCTGCGACCCCAGCTCCTCCCCCGCCCCTGCTTACCCTCACCAGTAGTGAGCATGGGTAGCACTTGAAAGTCCCTGGGCCTGGGCCGATGCTCTGTCGAGTGGCACCCAGGTGGTGCTGCCTCTGGGGTTCCCGGGTGGGCGGGGAGCAGCCGCACATCCAAGGCCTAACGCAAGGCTGACAGTTCTGGGTATGTGCAGATCAGTGCCTGGGGGCCCATCCCTACCCCATGACCCCTGACCTTGTCCCCAGAGCCCCCGGCAGACCGTCTTCTTCTACCCGGCCTACCCAGACGAGGTCCGTGGGGTCTTTGCTGTGCGGAGTGGAAAGTACAAGGCTCACTTCTTCACCCAGGGTAACTGCCTCTCCTCAGCCCTGCCCACCCCCTCGTAGCCCAGAGCCTGGTCCCCCTCTCCCTTTTGCCCTGTGCAGAGACGCGCCCCCCTCCTCAGGTTCTGCCCACAGCGACACCACGGCAGACCCTGCCTGCCATGCCTCCAGCCCTCTGACCGCCCATGAGCCCCCGCTGCTCTTTGACCTGTCTGAGGACCCCGGTGAGAACTACAACCTTTTGGGGAGTGTGGCAGAGGTCACCCCGGAGACGCTGCGGGCGCTGAAGCATCTTCAGCTGCTCAAGGCCCAGTTTGATGCTGCCATGACCTTCAGCCCCAGCCAGATGGCCCGGGGCAAAGACCCTGCCCTGCAGATCTGCTGTCAGCCCAGCTGCACCCCCTGGCCGTCCTGCTGCCACTGCCCGGGGCCCCAGACCTGAGGGCACTGGCAGAGGCCAGCCAAGGGCCCCTTGCCTTGCCCAGGCATGTGGTTCATTGCTGTGGCTTAGGTGTGTGGAGGTGGTTTGTACCTGATAATGCAAATAACACCAGCTGACACCTGTAGGTCTGATCGTTCATCTAATTCTTGTGATAGCCCCGGGGTGGAGGCTTTTCTCTGCCTGTGTTACAAATGAGGGAACTGAGGCATGGAGAGGTCCAGCAACTTGTCTGAGGTCACCCAGCCAGGAAGCGGTTGGGCTGGGATTTGAACCTAGGCGTCCTGACTCTGGAAGCTGCCCTCCCACCTTGGTGCTTGTGTGTGTCAGTGCACACAAGCCCGGGGCGTGAGCGTGAGCATATCCATTCACGGGAGCAGGTGCTTTTATGTGCCAGGAACAGGATAGGGAGAGCATGAGGGCATGGTGGACAGAAGATCCCAAAATGCAGAGGCCTGTGAGAGCCAGGCTTTCCCCGGGAAGAAGCATTCCTGGAGGCACAGGACCCAGCCCACCCCAGCTCTTATCAGAGACCTGTCTGAAGGCCAGCGCTGAGTTGCCTATTCCAGGTGGAGAGATGGGCTGGGGGCCCCTGCCAGCTCCCAGGAAGGCACATCAGCAGCTCCTGAGACAGCACAGCCCGGCCCCGGCCTCTCCCCGCCCTGCCCCACCTCTGCCCCTTCTAAAGCTCTGCATTTCCCGCTTGTGCACACATTTCCTGTCTCCTGGCTTCACCTTTGACCCCATATGAGCCTTTCTGCACCCAGCAGACAAAGAGATCTCTTAAAAACATCTGTCAGCTTTGGTTCCAGTGCTGCTCAAAACTCTGCAGCCTTCCCATCCTGCTCTGAATAAAATCCAGACTCCTTAGAGTGGCCTGACCTACCCCCCAGCCCCCACCCCTCTCCCCTCAGCGCTGGTGTGCTGGCCTGGCTGTCCCCTTGTCCAGCCATTGTGCTCATTGTTGGCTCTGCCTGGGGCCTCCTCTGCAGAGAGGACCTCCTGGCTGCCTGCCCACATTCACATGGTGCATGCAGCCTTTGTGGGGTCACCTCGTGTGTGTGCTCCCAGAGACGTGGCCCAGCCCCACATGCTCCCTCACATGGATGAATGAGAGGAGCGCTGTCTGGGTGCTCAGGGCCCCAGAGTGGGCAACCTTCGTCGTGGCAGACCGAACAGCCATCTCCTTCCTTACTAATGGACCCCCACTTTTTCACTGGTGGGCGAAGGCCCCTTGACCCTATAGCCTCTCCCTGTCCGAGGAGGGTAGTGGCCAGTCTGAGCCAGTCACAATCCAGTGATTGGTCCAGGAGTGGCATGTGACCGAGAGTGCTGGTCAGTGAAAGGTAAGGGGCAGTCCGCTGGGATCCTTGGGTCTCCTCCAGCATTGTCCTCTGGGGAAAGTGAGGACGGTGCTGTGGCGTCGCTGGCCGTGATCGTGCAGCTGCTAAACCAGTGCCTCCAGAGCTCACAATTAGGAAAATAAACTGTGCCTGTGTGAGCCACTGCTGGTGGGTCTGTTATTTGCAGGCAAAAGCAGTCTTGCTGGATTGACCTGTGAGTGGGACGGACGTGTGGTAGGCACATGCACGGATGCAGGTGGCCTCCTGAGTGAGACTGTGGTGTCAGTTACAGTGTGCTGAGGGCCCCTTCGTGTGACTCTCCCATCACTTCTAGTCTCGTTTGGGGATTGCACTGACCATGCCTCCCAATCCTGCTGTGTCTTGGGGCTGCTGCCATAGGGCAGTGGTTTCCTTGGGGGCCCCTGTAGCCACTGATTCTGGCATGTGGAGGATCAGTGGAGGCACTGGCCCCAGATGGGCTGGGCATGCCCACCCGCTGTGGCCTGCAACTTCTCTTCCACTGAGGCCCCCCAGTCACCTCAAGGTGCCTTGGGGTCAGGGTGAGGACAGAGAGGAACTCAAGCCAGCGCACGACCTGTGCATCTCATCCAAGGACCAGCACTCCAGCAAGAACTAAACAAGTGCTGACACCCAGCGCAGCCTGCGGGTGCCTCTTCAGGTGTGCCTTACTGGTGAGCATTACTTGTTAGTTCCACAGATGTTTATTCACCACCCCGTGCCATGCATTCTGCTGGGGCCCAGACCATCAGAGGGGACCCATCCCTGCTCCTGCGCCTGCTTACTGTCTAGCAAAGGAGATGAGCATCGAGCCTTGGGTCTCAGACATGTGTGGAATTCCAGTGTGCTAGAAGCCTCTCCCTCCCGTGGGGTGGGGCTTGTGGATATTGTTTGGGAAGGGACGCTAGGGAACCTTCGGGTGCTCCAAATCTTCTCTGTCTTGATTGGGGTGGGAACATGGTGCATACATGAGTACAAAGCAATCAAGCCAAACACTTAAGATTTGTGCATTTTATGATGTCATGTGTGTATTTTGTGCTCCAGTAGAAATAGAAGTTTAACCATGATAAATGCCACAGAGGAAGAGTCCTTGTTCCTACAAAAGCATAATCATTGGGGTGGTGGGAGATAACTAAACCGGCTGGGGATGCTGAGGTCTGAGGAGGGTGTTCAGACCCACTCTCTGCACCCCCAATGGAGAGTGAAGCAGGTTCTCCCACCCTCCCATTCCGCTTTTGGTTTCACTATGATGCTTTTACATGCATAAATGCTTGTTTCTCATCGTTTTGGCTGCTTTAGTGTGATGTACCCTCCTCATACAGGCAGTCATGTGCACACACTCTCCCATATTCATACATACACACTCACAAACATACAGGCACACAGACGCACATACGCACTCACACGTATGTGTGTGCACACATACACATGCACGCACATTCAGACACACGCTTATTGTGGCCCCAAATGCCGTCTGCGGTGTCCCTGCACCTCCCCTCTTCTCCCTCCCGTGAGCCTAAAATCCTCCATCCAGCAGGCTGAGAGCTTTCCCTTCCCACGGAGCGGCTTCCTTGGGGAGCCCAGAATCCTCCGGAAGGAACTAAGTGTGTTTGGAACAGACGGAACAAACACGTTGGTGCTGTGGTTTTCCCTCAGGTGCGCTAGGAAGGGAGAGGAGATATCAGAGCCTGAATGATGGGCAGGCAGAGGGACAGCAGGAAGACCATCCTCCCCTCCCCGCTGCCCCCTCCTTGCTCATGTGCTCCCCTGCCCCCCAGTTGACTAGAAGGGGGAGCAAAAGGGGATGTTTCCATGGGACAATATTTAAATTCAGCTCTTCTCTGAAAGTTTTTAGTTACAAAAGTAGCGTATGCTCATCAGAGCACCAGACAGTGCCTGTGATCGCAGCCCGAGGTGGGCACGGCCATCCGCTGGGTGCGTGTCCCTCACCCGACTCTCATGTATTTTAACCATGGGCGTTCAGCTCAACCCTCATCTCACTGGGCTGCTGCCTTTCTGGTGTCCGACGAGTCCTGTCACCTCCTTGACCCAGGCCCGGCATAGGGGCAGCAATCAGAGGGAGGGGTGTGTTTTTTAACCACCCCCAGCCTCCTTGGCTCTTTTGTGTGAAGACGCCTCCTCAGGGTGGTCACAGCTGTAGGGGCAGAAGCATGACTCCCCTCCAGCACAACCTGCATCCTCCTTGGCAGCCCGGCAGCCCCTCAGCGAGGAGGGAGAGCTGAGTCTCTCTCCTCAGGCAGGGCCCAGGATTCCACGCAGGGGTGGGAAACACTTCCTCATCATTTTGCAAACACAGAAATATGGAACAAGCGGCCACGTTGGACGTTGGGTGTCCAGAACCTGCCCTTGCCAGGGAGCACCCAATTCCCTGTTGAGGACTGCAGCCCCCCTCCAGCCTGGAGGGACGGTCAGTCCAGTTGCCTGCCCCTGCCCAGAAGTGGATCTCCAGGTGGGGGGAACCCACAGAGTGGGAAAGAGTGTTGGTTCATCGGCCCACAGCAGAGCTGGGCAGAGCTGGAGGGGCAGGAGCCACTGCCCACTCATCCCCGAGGCGGCCACTTGCCCTCTGTAGTGTCCCTGGTCTTGCCTTCTTTTCCACCCTAGGAGTCCCCGACACCCTCCCAATAAAGTCCCTTTTGGTTATGTTACCCAGAGTCAGTTTCTGTGGGTTAGTTGTGACCACGGAATGCTAGGTGATACGGAAGGAAATTAGGTACTAACACCCACCCTCCTAATCTCAGCAAATGGGCCGGGTGAGAGGAGTGGGACACGGTTTCTGCCATCCACAGGGATGGATGCTGCCACAGGTGCGTTCAGCATAATGTGCTGAGTGTTTGGGGTGGTGGATGGGGGACTGCTTCCTGGAGACGCTGGGGCGGAGCCCTGGGCGTCCACCTGTGTCCCCCTTCCACCCCCTCTTGGAGACATGCCCTCCTGGGGGAGGAGCCTCATCTGAACGGCATGACCTTGTCCTTCTCCTTTGCCACCCCTGACTGGACAATTCGCCTGCCCCAAGACATGTCCCCGTGTGAGTAGACAGTCCAGTCCCTCACTGGGGGTCCCTGAGGAAGGATGGGGCAAGGTTTTGGTGGTGGTGAGCCTGAGGCTGCTCACTCCACTCCCCTTCCCAAGAGATTCTTCCATGCCCCTCAGCTGACGTGAGTAAGAGTAAGGCTGCAGACACCTGTGGGGGGATCAGCCTCCTCTCCATGAAGTCTCATGCAGGACGCCCAAGAAGAGTGCAGACGCATCATGCACTCCAGGGAGCAGGTTCTGTCCAGACAAAGGCTGCTGGGTGGCGGGCCCATGGGGCAGTGAGCGGGGTTCTGCAGAGGTGGAGCTTTGCACAGGGTGTGCACCAGGCCTCTATGTGCCAGGTAAATGCCAGGAGCCAGCTGCTCTTGTCTCCTCCAAATTTGCAGAAAGGAAGTAAGAAATAAAATCAAAGTTGTCCTTTTGTCATCAACTCAAATGGTGGCTGAGATAGCTTTTAGGGCTAAATTGTTTTATCCTGCTCTTTGCAAAGCTCCCTGTACGTGAGGACTTTACTCACAGGTGCAGGGGTGCGGTTCTCAATGCAACTGCCCTTAGATTCCAGGGGTGCTGCCACGGGACAGGAACCAGGACGTGAGACGGGGGCTGTATGCTGGGTGTTATGCCAATTCCATAAAACATGACCCAGGCCGGGGGCAGGGGCACGTTCAGGGAGAGACCCCATGCTGCTCATCAACTCCCGTCCCTCACACCTGCCCA